TAAATAAAATAAATAAATCTAGCCATCTAAATAAAGAAAATGTGGTTTCATATAAACCAAATTAGATTCCGTTCCAAAAACTCATTACCATGGCACCAAATTAAATCAGTTGCAAAGTTATGTTACTAATACCGTAATTATGGCACCAACACTAATCCGTTGCAGAAATTCGTTACTAATGCACTAAATTCTAGTAGTGAATTAGAACATATATTATTCATTTAATACTTTGATATCTTTATGTAAGGAAAACAATGTTATTATTTAAATCAGTTGATTATCACACAGTATTCTACGCATATTTAATACTTCGGTTTGTGTTTGTTTCAATAATTTCTTGGTTTTGTTTAATTATGTTGATAGTAGTTTTGTAGGCAAAGAATATGTAAATAATTATATGTAGCCGATTTTGGAACTCTTATTTATCAAGGATTCTTTTTTATTTTAACAGATTTATTAGAATCATTGATTTGGATTAGCATATATGTTACATACACACAAAAAAATAATTTTATAGTAATATTTAAATTTACATGACGTCAATTTTGGAATTCTCATTTGTGAGGATTTTTTTTTTTTATTTTATCATATTTATTAGAACCAACAATTACAAAATATAAATTTATGTTCATATCTAAATATATTTATATTAATATTTAAATATATTTTTCATTGTAGCAGATTTTGAGAATGAACGATTTTATATGAGATATACGAATCTTTTTTTTTTTTGAGATAAACACCAATTCCCTTCATTGGTATTTTTTTTTGTCAATTATTTTTAAAAAGAAAATTTCAAAATTTTGTATAGTAAATCGATTTTTTGTTTTCGTATACACAAAATATAAATTTATTGCAAAATCTATATATATATATATATATATATATATATTTACTACCTAAAAAGTTGTCACACATATAATAGGAAAGTTGTCTAATTAAAAATTGTTCAGTTTGAAAATATATAACAAGTTGTCACACATTCAAATAAAAATTGTTCGGTTTGAAAAAATTAGCCTGAAGTAATGTCTAATCACTAATGTTTTATATTTTATATCTACTATATATAATCTCTCTCATAAAATTAGTGTGATGTAGTATTTAATATTTTGTATTATTCATATATATTTTTGTAGATATACACCAATTCATTTGTCCAACTGTTGCATAAAATTATCATATTATAATAGATCCATCTTAGGCTTCCATTTAAGTTTCAGAGGCACCAGTTCCTTCTGATTTTGGGGTTCCATTTAACAGCCATGGTCAGTCTTTTTGTATAAAGAATATAGAAATATTAGTGAATATTATATAGCTAATCAAGTATAATCGATATTAAACTAACAACTCATTGTCTGACTGCCTAAGTAAATTATCATATTATAAAAAGATCCATCTTAGGATTTCATTTAAATGCTAGAGCACCGTTACTTCAAATCTTAGGATTTCAATTAAGATCAGGGTCAGTCTTTATGTGCATTGACATATTATTAAAGAAATCGGTTCTTAGCAACGACCAATTATATGTTGTTGTTTTTACGTGTAAATAATATATAAGAGATGTGCATTAGCATGTTCTTAAAAAAAATCTTTTTTTTGATCACGACCAATTGTATGTTGTTACGCGTGTAAGTAATAGGTCAAGAAGAGTCAAGGTCAACATTTATTGTACGTTGGCATGTTAAATAATGGATCAAGAAGAGTCATTGTCAACATTTATTATACGTTGGCATATTTTTAAAGAAATCGATTTTTAGTCACGGACAATTATGTTGTTTGTTTCGCGTGTAAGTAATATAAAAATGTTGAAAATATTAGTTTGTGTGGACGACGAGTTGCTCAGTTATTGAACAAATAATGTTGTGTACAAGAAAGTTTAAATAATATATTTTTTTTGCATGAGGAACATTTTATGGTTTGATAATTTTCTTACGAATTATCACTCTTTTATTTATTAATACAGTTTAATTTTTAATATTCTCTAAATTAAATACAGCTCGTGCATCGCACGGGTTACATACTAGTTATTATAAAATACTAGATATTGACTTTCATATAATACTAAACATATTTGCTAATAATAATTCTAACTATACAGAGCATGTTTGTTTATAGAAATTTTTAGTTTTGTTTGGATTTTTTAATTTTGTTTGGTTAATTTTAAAAAAGTGGTATGGTTAGTTGTTAGTGGGTATATTAAAATAATATTTAAAATAAAATAGTTAAAATAATTTTATATAAAAGTAGGAGAGAGATAGTTTGATGTGATGGTTAGTTAAAATAATGTGAGTGGATGAATAGTGAATTAAGGTTGATGTGGTGTGTGTGAATGATTGATTGATATTATTTAATTATATTGATAATAATTGATGATAGTGAGGTTGAGTTAAAGTTGAGTTAAAAAAAGTGGTTGAGTTAAAATGTGAATTTTTTTTAAAAATTTCCATAAACAAACATGCTCAGTATTTTACATTTCTGATTGGAAATAAAAAAAAATGGTATGAAATTTATTTGATATGGATATGAAAGTCGAATATTAGGTTGATTTGTTATAAAATCAAGTGATACGATTTTCAAATTTTAAAAGAATTTCATAATAACTTGCCATAAGATATTGATAATAATTCGACAAACTGATATGTATTCCTCTTGGAAAAAAAATCTCAGAACAATGATTGTTCTATAATTTAATCTTATAAAATTAGTTGATAAATTTGAACGATAAGATAACTAACGACAAATTTAGAAATTTGCGAGATACATGTGTGTGTGTCTGGGTGTGTATATATATAATTAAAAGATAAATAAATAATTATTCATATTTACGGGTCAATATTATTTTGAACGCAAATAGTCAATTATTTACAATTTAAAGAAATACTCAACTACTTAAATTTTTTGATTTGGATATTTTGTACAAAAATAAATTCATTTTAATTCATGAAAAAAATAAGTTTTATATTTATACATATTATTCACATAGATTTTTAAATATATGATAAATTTTTAACAAAATATTTATTTTATGGAATCACATTTTAGTTAGATCAAATTTTTCAATAAAAATTTTAAAGTGATACTTATTTTGAAATGCAAATAATTTAACTTATTATCAGTTATGTGCAGTGTAAGGGTCGTGTACTAATTTTAAATAGACAAGTTTTATGTAAGTTTACACAATTTAAGTTTCATATAACATTTTCAATAAATTTATATAAGTAAATTGTCTTCAATATTGATTCCATATTTATAATTTATAAATATTATTTAATGAGCATTTTCAATGTATAAATATTAATGAATTTCCCTTACTCGTGCATCGCACGGGATTCGTACTAGTAAATGACCAAACCATAAAAGAAATAAAAAAAAAAAAAGATTAGAAACTTGCAATTATAAGATAACACAAGAAATTCAGGACCATTGGATAACTAATTTGGACTATTGTTCCTCACATCATCAGGAGCTCCAGTTTCAGCACGGCCTGTAGATGGCTCACCAGCTCCCCTAGACGACGCTTGTATGGTTGTTGCTGACGGGCCTTGTCCCTGCACAGCAAAATAGTTAAATGGGAAAGGAAAGAGATTCGCGGGACGTGCCACATTCAGATCATGAGGATAGTTTTGGAAATGAGAAGACGATCCTCGGTTCGTTTGCGGAGGAAAATGTGAGAAAAGGCTTGCAAAAGGATGACCTCCAATTGACATGTTGATGTAAGAAACTGGGGGAAAAACGGGTGCGGGCCCACTAACATGAAGCGCACCATGAACGGGGAAAGCCCATATGAAGCCCAAGTGGGGTTCCATCCCAAAACCAATTGGTGGAAGGAGGAGTAGCCCATTAGACTTATAAGGTGGGTCTATTTTCCATGTATGAACGATGTGGGACAACTCGCAAGTGATATTCTAACACGCCCCCTCACTTGTGAGTCCTTCAGAAGTCCAAGCCCAACTGGACGCCCCAAGCCTACTAGAAGGAGACATTCTAGCAGACTCCCATAAACGGGTACGTGGGGAAGCAGACTCCCATAAACGGGTACGTCATCGCACGGTTCCAATAGAACCGGCTCTGATACCATGAAAGAAACTGGGGGAAAAGGAAAGCCCATATGAGGTTCCATCCCAAAACCAATTGGTGAAAGGAGGAGTAGCCCATTAGACTTATAAGGTGGGTCTATTTTCCATGTATGAACGATGTGGGACAACTCGCAAGTGATATTCTAACATATTTGGAGGATGATAGTTGAATTGAGTAGTTATAAATGGAGGAAATGGACTAGGGCCCGAGCCCCCGTTTTCCAACTCATTGATACGGTTTTTTATTTTGCAAATCATCTCTTTTAACCACTTCTCCTTCTCATTGTCCGCTTGCACTCTCTCGGCCTCGACCTGTTCCCACCACACTTTCTCTCGTCTTCGATCCATCTCGTCTTGCCGTTTGTCCGCTTCGTTTATCTCATCCTTTTGGCCCAACAGTTCGTCCAACTGCCTGTTCAAAACTCCGATTCTTTCGTGCATCGTGTTGTCTGCGGCCCTCGCCGCAGTATTTTGCTACCGCGGGTTTCTGTATCTCGCGACCACGGAGTCCGCAGACGGATTCCATAGTGAGAAAGGGTTGTTGGTTGGGGAGAAGATGATTATTCCCAAATCGACCCCGCACAACGTGCTTAGCTCGCACGCTTTTTTGAGTAAACCACGACGACGTTTCGAAAACGTCGCGTATAAGTCGTCCTGGTTTTCGATAAGCTTCATGGGTATCCTTTGCCGGCCTCTTGTTTGCCTGCCACTGCCACTGTCACTGCCAGCCATGATGTGATTATTTTGATGAATTTTAATTGTATGAAAATAATGGAACAAGATAATGCATGGTGTGGGAAGTGTAGTTGTGTTTGTTAAGGGAATTTACAGTACAAAAATGTTTGCTCTGGGCCTCTGGCTGGTCAAATATTGGTGATATGATTGCTTCTAATTCATAATGCAATTAGGACAGATTTGGAATTTGAATTTCAAATTGTTTTACTATTTATTTAGCATATGAAAGGAATTGGTCAAACATAAATTTCTTCAAATGGTACATCAATTTATGGGAATTTCAATTATAGAAGATCTGATAATCATTTTTTCTTGAAGTACACCGGAGTTATATAAGATTTTTCATAATATGCATTTTGAACAGATTTGGAATTTCAATTTGATTTGCTATTTTTAGCATTTGTAATGAACGGTCAAACATATAGTTCTATATTTGATTCGAATAGTTCATGTAAACACTTTAAAAGATCTTAAAAAGTCTTCCAATAACATGTATAGTATATACTATGGATGTCGATATTATTCCCTATATATAATTCTCGAATACGCTGAGCTTACCATTACAAAAAAAAAATTATAATATTTCAACGGAAAATCCTATGGTAATATATTCCAATGAAAATTCCAACGGATATTCCAATAGTATAGCTTCCGTTGGAATGGTTCCAACGGAAATATTTCGCTGGAATGTGTTTTTCATTGGAATTTTAGATGAAATTTGGTGATCCAACAGATATATTTCAAACGGCTTTTTACTGTAGGAATTTCCGTTGGAATATGCAATTTCCATTGGAATTTTTATTTCCACACCTGTTGGAAAATCCACCGTTGGAATCGCCAAAATCCAACGGAAATTCCAATGGAAAACTCATTCAAATGGAATATTTCTGTTGGAATTTTTGTTGGAATCCATTAAAAAATTCCAACGAAAATAATAGTATTGAAATATCCGTTGGAATTGCTGTTGGAATCATTCTATTATAATAAATTTCCGTTGGAATTTCATCATTATTTCTCATCGGTTTTACATATATAATATATCGAATTAATCATATTTTGATGATCTTCGATTTGACATCCATATTGTATATATGAAAAAAAATTAAATATATTTATCTTTATAATAATAAAAAATAATTATATTTATTAAAATTCATTAGGAAAATAAAATTATTTCTCAATTGTTATATTTATGTTTAATGTAGTTATATGTTGTAAGTTAAAAAAAATTATTATAATATAACACAAATAAGTCGCACAAATAAAAATGACATGCTAAATATATAACTTTAGATTTTAAGAAAAAAAATTAGCACGCGTGTAATACTAAAAAGTGATATAATTTTTCTCATTAATTTTAAATTTTAAGAAAAAAAATTAGCAAACACCTGTGTAATACACGCACATTGTATGTTATGAGTCAATTTGTCCAAACCAAATTTAGTATTCAAATTGCATATGAATTTGAATATTGAAAATAATTAGTTATGTAGCTCGAATAAAATAAAATAAATCAATAATGTTTTCATGATAACATGTTCGATAGTATACTAATACTTATATATTATTTTATTTATTTTTAAAAGAATAAAGATGATATACGATTATAGTTATTAATATTGTTCAATAAAGAATTATTTATAATATTAATATATTTTAGTAGAATATAATATCAATTGTGAGTTGTCCCACGCCGAACTTATAAGCTTAGTGGGCTACTTTATTGACAACCGACTCAGTTGGACCAATCGGAAGAGGCCACGTGGAAGATAAGATGTTGATCCGATTATGTGTGAATATACCAAAATGGGAGTCCGACTTGGAACACCTCGGCGTGGACCGAGAAAAGAACCGGCATCATTAGACTATCTTTATCCTCAACTCAACCCAACTCAACTAAACAATTAAAAGTCATTTCTCTCTCATCTACCTACACAACTCAATCTCCCAACTCAATTTATCTTTATCCCAACACAAATCAACCTGAATATTTATTTTATTTTAATTTATTGAAAAATTACAATTGTATTCTGAAATATATCAAATGTGGTTTCTATATGTAGAGAATGACAAAAAAATGCGAATTTTAATATTTTTATTTTTTTTAAACAAAAAAATACACTTGTCCAATAAAAGTGGGACAAGTGTCCTATTTCTACACAAAATTTGGTCGCGACCCGAGGTCACAATGTGACTTGGGTCGCGCATTCTTGTGACCTTTTCCTTTTTTTTTTGTCTTATTCACGTGACCCAATGAGTGGGTCACTGATAAAAATGGTCTTAAGAGTACCCACAATGCTTTGAGTCTCTTTTTTGCATATGTAGCAAATAAAAAGACTTAAGTCCATAATGACATGAACAAATCCAAAATCTATCCAATGCAAAACAAAAAAGTACTAGGTCTAGAATACTAAGCAACCAATAAAAATATAGTAATAATAAATGCATACAAAAAAATGTGTTTTGCCTATTAAAAAGAAAAAGAAAATTATGAACAATTAATGACTAGGTGGGTTTGCACTTGGGTCCAAAATAGACCCAAGTGTGGACTTAGTCTCTTTTTTCTAGTACCACATAAGTTAGACTAGGTTCACTTTTAATTGCATTGTGAAACATTTTTTTTATAAACTAGGTCTATTTCCTACATGGCATGTGATTTTTTTGTAAGAGACACAAAGCATTGTGGGTGCTCTAATAGACCGAAGACCGACGTTCATGTGAAACTGAGGTTAAGCCGGTGCATTAAAGACAGATAGGACGCATGTCAATCGAACCCCATACCTTCATCATTATTTGTGGTGCCACCTGCATGGTAGATGCCCCTAGACCGTTAAATCACATTTGATGCCGCCGAACCAGCCTTGGAGAGCGAGCCTGCGATTACTACAAATGGCATTATTTATTTTTGTACGAGGATATTTTTTGACACATTAAATTCACATATAAAACAGCTCGGTTCCACAAATAACCGACCTCATGTACTTGAATCCGACTTAATGATAATAAAAAGTCCCTCGTCTGAATGCTCGACAAGCGTCGAACCTAAAACCTGAAACCACCATAACCGAAAAACACAAAAACAAAAGAAAATAGAAAGAAAAAAAAAACAAGGAAAACACCAAACACACCACACAACAATTAAAACACGAAACACGACTAGGTGGACGGAAAAAACCCTAAGCAAAACACCAACAAAAAATAACAACAAAAATGGGACAAACATCTATCTCCCCTCCTTCGTAGTTAGTCACTTCAGCCTTGCTGTGCGCGGAAGCCCCCACCCATTTCGTGTATACAAGATCTTGACTGATACTGTTCGGAATTGTCAATAGCCAAGATGTGTCCATCTTGGGCTCCTCTCTTTTTTCGTCGATCGTCGATCGGGTGTTGCAATTGAGAGGATGGTGATGGCGACCCTTTCTCTTCCGATTGTTGTCGCGTATTCGGTCGCTTTAAAGGATAGACTGGATTCAAAGTTGTAAGATATAGATAGCCTTTACTATATCGGATCGAAAGTTATTGAATCTGCTATTTTGGGCTACGGTCGTGTTCATCTTTGTTGGTCCAACTTCGATTTGTTAGCTCAGATGGTGGCATTGGCGATGCTCGTTCGCAGACGGGGAGGGCTTTAGTTTATATTTAGTTTTGTTAGCTACTCTCTCTCTCTCTCTCTCTCTTTGCTTTTTTTGGTTGTTAATCTCCCCTTTAGAGTTTTTTATTAGTCTCTTTTTTTTTTTT